CAGCAAATGCTTCCATGATAGACTACTATCTCAATGTCCCATGCCTCTTTTACATTGGGAAACTATACTACCAAAGATCAGATCACATGCTTTCAGCTTCTGGCCTCTGAAGTTCTGTCCCTATCATGTGCTTTAGAGACTATGTTTACCATAAGGCCCTGCCATTGTTTGCTTTTGTGATAATGTTAACTAGTACTACCCACTTTGAAATCAACAGAGGCTATCTAAAATAAAAATTAATAAATTTTGTTAATAAATTTCAACTCTATGGTTGATAAATCTAGTATCTGGGATAACCTTAAACCCAGGCCCAACCTGCCCCAGGTTGATATCATTGGGCATGAAGTCCCATTCTAGCACTGCCACTTTGGGGACCCAGCAGTCTCAGGAAAAGTCAGTGTCTTTCAAATTATTATCTGTGCTTTTAAAAATTATTTTATGTGTATGGAGTTTTTCTTACATATACATATGCACACAATGTGTACGCCTGGTGCCTGTGAAGGCCAGAAGAGGGTGTCAGGTCCCCTAGAACTGGAAGTATACATGGTTGTGAACTACCATGCTGATGCTGGGAACTAAACTTATGTCCTCTGTAAGAACAACAAGTACTCTTTGCCACTGAGCCATCTTTCCAGCACCTGTTTGTATTTTTGACAAGACTCTGCATTCAACTTTCAGATCTGAAAGAGCATCTTTCCCTGGAAATGGTTACATACACCCAGGAATCCAGTACTGGCTGCCTTTGCCTTAACTCTCCTGCCACCTCTATAAGCTACACCATCAAAGATGCCTCAGAGGTCACTTCAGCTCCACAGTCCATTTGAGAACAATTTTTTAAAAAGGCACTTCCAAGCTGTTTGAGTGAATTACATGCATTTAAATGAATATTGTACTGAATTCAAACTTATTTTCACAAATTCTAGCACTTTTCTTCTTGAAGCAACTTCAGAGATGCTCTGGTCTAACCTGTCGATTGGCTGATGGAGAAACTACCAGAAGAGAACTTCAGAAACGTCCTAATGTTAGCACTGGAGCTATACCCAGAAGACAGGACCAGTCCCCAACAGTCCTGTCTCCCCAGTTACCTATCACTGATCAAGGTGTGACTGGTTCTACACACACACACACACACACACACACACACACACACACACACACACAGTACTCACTCCAAATTAGAACTCCCTGCTCATCCATGAGGAACCAGAGGTTGAGTGACATAAAGTCACTTGCCCAGTCACCCAGATCATAACTGAAGATGAAAACCAGACCTGGAATCCTTCCAACTCAAAGGCCTCTATGTACTGTGCTGTGAGCCTGATTTCCCAGCCTGCTCATCAAAGATTATTCTCCTACATAAAAGAACAATGGTCATCAGTAGAGGCAGGTGGTAGAATAGCACTGACTGTCAGGTGACAGGCAGACACTTGACCTAGTCTTCGGCATGTGGTGCACTGTGGTAGTCCCTAGCAGCACTTGGCTCAGGGCTGTCGTCAATACCTAGTTGGAAGTCGCTGAATAAGTGAGATGCTTTTTATTTCTCTTGTACCATGAAGCTCTGTTGTTCAGTTATTCCTGCTTTCTCTGCACAAGAAACCTCAGTGGTGAGTGGTGAGTCCTGTAAATGCCCTCTCAGGTGAGCCATGTCCACAGAGCCAACCTGAGAGATCACCTCTGTTTTCACAGCTCCAGCAGGGATCACTGCCTCTATCTAGTGTGAATGCACTGTTTGTTTTCCTTCTCCTTCTGTTTGCTGTTGGAAAAGTCCATTAGTGTTGATTGACATGACTAAACAGTGAAGGAGAGAACAGTTGATGTGCTAATAACTCTTAAGTAAATACCAATTGTTATTGTCACCTCAGAGCCTTCCAGAGAGGTGGCACCATCCTTGGTCCTACTTTTCTTTGGCTCTGTCTTTCACCAACCTGGAAAGGCAGGTTTGGAGAGAGAAAGAGTCTTGAATGGATTGGTGAGCAAGAGGAAGGAAGAGTATGGTAAGGAAGCAGGGTCACTGAACTAGTGGCAGAGAGCAAGAGAGAGAAGGGCAGGGACATGTGTGGCTGCTCACGTACACACAGAGTAGAGCAGAGATGAAACAAGAGCTGATGATTAAGGGGAGCATTTCCCAGGGTTCACCTTGGAAGCACTGGGACTCTGTAGGCATCATGTCCTAGTGGCTCTAACCTATACCCTCTAGCTCCATGTCTGCTCTTTTTAGTATTTAGGATGTGTGACCTTCCGACTTGCTGTGAGGTAGAGGAGAAGATAAGTTGGCTGTGACACAGAGAGGTTTTATGATGTCAACATTAGAGTGGAAAATTCTTATGATGCTCTGTTGGGGACAAAGGGAATGTGACATGACCAAGAAGATTCACATTTGACTGGAAGGATTTATGGCTAGTAAAAGAAAGGGAAGATGGACTCCGCTCCTACCTAAAGCAAAGACAAAACAGCATTATTATCAAAATAAGGTCCTTCTCTCACATGTTCAACAGATACTGATGGTGTCTGGTGCATATCTTAGGCACATATCCTAGCTCTGAGAACGTGTTGGTGTCAGGTCTCTTCTCTCTAATGACTCATGACCTGGCAATTAGAGTAAACATTTTAAATATAAAATAATGAACTGAAAATAGACTAAGCAGGTTTTGCTTATGTATTTAGGAACACACACACACACACACACACACACACACACAGACACACCTGTATTCTGTGCTTTCTATATCTCTTATAGATTTAGAATGTATGTCAACATAGTAACGACTCTAAGAATTTCTATAGTATACAGTTTTGGAAAACATTATTTAACTTAGAAAGTCTAACATATTTAATAAAAGGGTCCTTTGTGTATGTATGTGTGAAACATTAGTGTCTTAAATAAGTAGAGAAACAGGGTGAGGACTTGGACTTTGATAGCAAACAATACCAGACTCATTACTAGCTCGTGACCTTAAAGTTAGTTAACCATTCTCACCATTTAATTTTCTTGCCAAAACTTATTAACATATCACCAGGTTGCATATATATATATACATATATGTATGTATGTACCCCAAAATATAATATCTACCATTCCATTTTCTTTTTATAATAATTTTTATTTTTGAAATTATAATTATTTCCTACCTTCCCATTCATTCTTCCAACCTTTCCCATGCACTCATCTTGCATTCTCCTCATATATATGTAGGCAGCTGCTGCAGTGAATGTATTGGAAAAGGCGACTCTGTGAAGTGAGACCTCAAAGGAGCCAGTGACTTCAAGATTGAAAGAAAAGAGCATTACAGGTGGAAGGAAGGACAGTGAGGCCTCCAGGCAAAAAGGAGTTGACTGTGACCTTCAGCAGAGCATTGTCACTGCCTTAATGTGAACATAGAGAACAAACTGTGCCCAGCACAGATGAGATTTAACTTCGGAGGAGGGACTCCAAGAGGGTTGTTCTCGAATGGAAGAAAGACAACAGCTTTTGTGCTTTTTAGTGTATCGTGTGCATGGCAGCCATTTATATTTGGGGACCTTTTATTCCTTTTCCTGTGACAACCATTTCCCCTCATTGTCAGCCTTTAGAATGAGACCACAGATTCAAGCTATCATATTAATAACTGTAAGGTACTTGTGGGGTTTGGAAATAATTGAATCCTCCCACTCCATCCCTCCACTGGCAGCATCAAACTTGTTTGTTCTTGAAGACACTGTCATCGTTCCAGCAAATGCAAGGACAGCTAATTTGGCCTTTATTTTGTTGTTCTCTACATTTCAAAGTCACCTCTGGTTCTTAGGCTATGGGATCTTGTTTCTTGGTGGTTACCTTGGCTCACTGCTCCTTCCATCTCAGATCCTGGTGTGATAAGTAGACTCTTCTTTAATGACAGCTGTGTCTACATCCTGTCTGTCCAATGCAAGAGTCACTAGTCATCTGTGGCCATTCAGAACATGAAGGTGGACAAGTTAAGAAACTAAATGCTTAATTTATTATATCTTAGATAGTGTAAATAGTTTTAGGTAGTCCCAGAGAGTTAAATGTTTTTGGTTTGGGGTTTTGTTTCGTTTGTTTGTTTTCTGATTGCTGAAAAACTACTGAAATACATTCACACAAGTAAGCAATACACATGACAGTCAGTGAGAAATTTCTTCTAAAAAAGAATGGAACACCTGGCACCAAATGCCTTTCTTGGCACAGCCAGGGGTTGAAGCATGTTATCCTTTGAATCACCCACCTCCATGCAAAGCCAAGAGCAGACTCTTCATGTGTGCCTGTGCTTTGCTCTGCTTTGATCTGGTCTGCCCCGCCCATGCTTTTCCTTCATCATGTCCCACCATTGTGAGTCTACGTCTGCAAACTGACTTCTTTGCTGTTCGTTAGTTATGACAGAAACACGCCCACCTCTGGGCCTTTGCATTGGCTGGCTGTTTGGTATAGCAAGCTCTTCCAGTTATCGAAGCCTCCTTCTCTTATAACTGTCAGTCCCTTACTGAAGTGCTTTCTTCTCAACTCTCCCTAAACTAGCTACACAACCCCACCTGCTCTCATCCTCTCTAATCTTTTTCCTTGCCCCACACATCCAATGTGCTGTTTGATTTTCTTTATCTGTTTCCACCTGACAATGTAAGCTACCTAAGAGCTCAGAATGTATTATGCTCCACTTCTGGCACCAAAGACGTAGATGCCAACAAGTGAGAACTGGAAAGATGGCCCTGCAGTTCAGAATGCTTGATGTTTCTGTAGAGGACCTGGGTTTGATTCCCAGCACCCAAATCGGACTGCTCACAACCACCTGCAATTGCAGTCCCGTGACACTTGACACCTCTTCTAGTCCCCAAGAGCACCTTCACACACATAACATACAAACAGGCACGTATATATTCACGCAAAATAAATTAATCTTCAAAGTAAAAACCTCACTGGCCGATAACCAGAAGCCGAAGTTGTGCACATTCTGTTCCTGCATTTACTTTGCAGGATGGCTTATCCCAAAGAAGGCAACACACCTGCAGCATGGCCTCTGTGGTTTTTATTAGTGTTTTCTGGGACCCATCATACAAACAAACAAAAGCATATTTTTGAAAAATAGAATTCTTTCATTAAACAGAAATTGTTTGGATTTAACAATTTAAGGGGGGAAAGGTTCTGATTTTTAAAAAAAGTGGCAGTAGGGTTGTTGCCCACCAATTATCAACCCAGAAGCCAGATGGCGAGAATAAAATTTATAGCTACAGAATGATTAACCCCGATTCAGCTAAACTCTGAAGCCTACGTTTTAAATGTCTCACAGCTGAGGATAGTTCACCTGTGACACTAAGATTACCATGATGGCGTTTCAGTCTCAGAACCAGTATTCCTCCATAGGTCCAGATCATGTGCCTTTTATAACCTATGTTTTCACACACATACTCTTCACATATATGATGTTCCAATATGCACAGGGCACCCAGAAGGTGCTTTATTTAAACTACAGAAGAATAATGTAATTGCTTCTCCCTCTTATTGCTCTCCCTTTTCTTATATTTTATACATTTAGAAAAGACACACTTGCAAAACTAACATCTAACATGCATGGCTAACCTTATCAAAATATCCCTCTGCATTTTTCAAAAAGGAAAAAATAAAAACCAACCCCTAAATACTAAAACTGAAAACGGTCTTATGCTTAAATAGCAATTGACATCATATAAACACATTTATAATCTTCATTGATTAAATAGGTCAAGGGTTTGTTACTGGCATCTTGCAACCAGGTTAAGTCTCACAGTTCTAGGTAAGGCAACAGAATTCTCATCCAGCAGACACTGATGTGTGGAACCAAGCAGCCTGTTTGAATCTCTTTTCGGCACAGGTAGGAGGCAAAGGAGAGTGTCACAGTAAAATGTTCATCATAGAGGTTATGTCCTTGAAGGTTTGGTTATTGTGTTCTGTTCTGGAGAAGTGACTCACGTCCCAGTTATGAATATGACTGACATCTGCTCAGTCAGAGGAGTCTCCCAGAAGACAGACACCATTCATTCAGTGGATAGTTATCCTGTTGCACCCTAGGTATGAGGATAACAAAGTGGTCAAACTTGGTCCCTGCCCTCTGAGAGCTTACAATCTAATCAGACAAGAACATGAAGGAAGTCTCTGTGTGTGAAACTCATGACCTGGGTCTTCCCTGCTCAGGCAGCCCACTGAAGACACTGTGGACCTATCCCTGGGATCCAGGGCCTTGCTTAATTTTATCAAGTCATATAGGGGCCTCAGATGAGCTGAGTCCATTACTTGACTTACGTTCCAGTGGAAACCACTACTATGTCACTTGTGAATACTCAAGGAGACTGTATTAGTGAACTGATTAATCACAGATGAACTTAGCAACTAAGTGACTATTCCCTAAAGAAAGAGGGCCTTCTCTGTAGGGTTTTTAGTTTCTTACAGATTGTGGTGGGAAGCACTCTGCTACACCCCAAATTGGCATAGCTTCCTACCTAGGGTTCTCCAAGTCATGAAGAGCACATAGAAAACATACAAATTCAAGCCAAGAAAATAGATATACAAAGCACTTAATACTGCAGCCTATTTAAATAGGCACTGGATGCCAAGAAACTGCCACTCTCAACAAACAGCACAATCTATTTATCTGCAGAACTGTTCCCACCTGTCCTTTCCAGACTCCCCTACTCTCTGACAAGGATATCTCTGTGAGGAGAAGCTGTAGAAAGAGCCAAAGCCAGTCACAGGAATCAGAGAAACTCACAGTCTTGAAGAAAGTGAACAGAGAAAGACTTGGCCACCCTAAACCAAAGCCAGGGAAAGCCATGCAAGGAACATCAGAGAGAAAACTGGCAGATGCCCCTAGTACCATCACAGACACACACACATACACACACACACACACACAATCACACACACACACACACACACACACACACAGAGAGAGAGAGAGAGAGAGAGAGGCACACCCACAGATTCTTCCCTCATTATTTCCTTCTACCATACAAGTTTCTCTCTGCATTCCCAGTATGGACATTTTCTTTTGCACTTTCTGCTACATCATGGTGTTTCTCTGACTTTGGCTCTTGTGGCTTTCTGAAAAAAATTTCCTCCATCTATTGAATCCTATTGTCCCTAATACTTAAAAACAAATAAAAATATGTTGACTTCAATGTATTGCTTTTTCTTTAGGAACTAGAAAATTCTACAAATCTCTTTGTTCTGAGACTGAATGACTACCTTTATATTGACTGGTTCAATTGGTGTTCTCACTCAAGGGTATTTTTGTCCTTCTAGAAACATTTGACAGTTTCTAGGAACACTTCAGATTGACACAGGTAAAGAATGCTAATGGAGGTCATAGATACTGCTATACATTTTACAATGCATAGTACAACCCTCACCACAAAGAATGAACCAACCCCAAACATCAGCTGTACCCAGGGAGAAACCTTAAACTACAGATACAAGAGCACACTCATCAGTACCACCTCCTCCTTTTCCCACCTAGTTTTCAATAGCTGGGCTGAATTCTATGTAGCTAGAAGTAATCACATGTGGCAGATGACTTTTTTAACCATCCAAGGCTAAAGGGAATACAGGAAAATCATCCCTGAATGAGTATAAAGCCTTCCCCCACCATCATCCCCATTTACTTAAACATTCCCAGTCACATAATCATGCAGTGATTATAGGCCACTCTGGATCATGGAAGCTCCCAGTCTCTACTCACTGTCTCTTGAGGAGGATGCTATGTGCGGAGACACATGACCTTTTTTTCTAAATCATTTTGTATATGAAAACATTTAATGCCCTCTTATTTCTTTTCCCTTCCTCTTAGCAAGAAGCACAAGGCTACAGGCCCTGTTGTTCTTGGGGTAGAAAAGAACACCACAGCAGAGGCAACTGCAAATCACAGCCACATACAGCTTCATAGTTCACAGAAAACTGTGTACGTTTGTTCTCCACATAGGACATACTTCAAAGTAACAAAATAATTTTTTTATCAACTGTAGTGTCCGTTCTTCCCATCAGAAGTAGATTTTTTTGGTCCCTTCATGGTACATAAATATCACTGAAAAGCAGTCTTTGAAATATTTATGTCCAGTTCTTCATTGATCATAATCTATATGCTGTGTGTTTTTGGTTTGTGTCCCAAGGGTTGGCAACCTCAGTTCTCATTTTCTCTCCATCCACGAGCATTCTTCCCAAATTTATAGACCAGCCGTCGCCCATCCACACGTTCCAGGATTTCTCGTTTGTAGTAGTATCTGTAAGAAGGAGATGGGTAAGGCGGCCATTCAGTCTAAGCACTGCAGGGGGTGAGTGGCCTTGCCATTGGAAGAACGTGAAGCTGCTCACCTCATGGCCCGACTGAGCTTCTCGTAGGTCATACTACTATTGTTCTTCTTTTTCCCCCACAGCTGAGCCACAGCCTCTGACTTCAGGAACCTGAAGATGCCTTCTGAACGGTCTTCCCATTTGATCAGCCCTGGGTTCTTGTCTGGGCTCAGGAGAATGTCTCGAATGAACTCCCATAAGTGAGTACCTCTTGGGTCTGATGAAAAGCAAGACACAATGACTTATTAATGGCCCAAATCAGAGGACAGGAGGGAGCGAGGTTGGGAGGGAGGGAAAGAGAGAGAGAACGAGAGAGAGAGGGGGGGGAGAGTTACAGCTTCTTCCTTGAGATGCAGGATCACCAAATAGGCATTTTTAGAATGAACAACTAGTATAGTCAAGGCATGGGGAACCAGTGTGACACATCAACCCACCAGGACTAAAGAATTGGTGTTAACCACATAATCCAGTTCAAGCTTCTTCTAACTATTGTTCACAAATGGCCTGGGCTTATTTCAGACAGCAGTCCCCAGTCATTTGTCTAATACCTCGCTGGGTTTAGTTATTCCAACCATCAGTCATCTCTTGGGACAAGACCTCCCCCAAAGAAAGTGATGCATCTCAACCCCCTTTCCACCTCAATCTTTGCCCCACCCTGTTTTCTCCTAGACAAAGAGAAATCTTTAACCTTCTGCCCAGAATTTCTTCTGCACTAAAGTGTCCTAGTTTTAGAGAAATTAAGATGAGGAAGAAATTCCCAGGAGGCCCCACTTTCTGAATCAATCATGTTGGGAGTCTCTCTGATGGAAAACAAGCCCCCTTTAGTGGTGAAGGAGATAGAAGCAATATTGCCAGGCAACTTACTGTGCTTTTTGGTGTGGGACTTTACAGGGTGGTCTTGCTCCTTTTTCATATCAGGTGACTCTGCTAAGGAGGAAAGTGAGAGAATCTCAGTTTAAACACCTTATGCAAGCATTGTTTTCACAACACACTTAGAAACTATCCACCCACGTCGACACTGTCTGGCTGTGTAGCAGTGCCCAAACACAGGATACATGCTTTGGAGAAAAATGCTGCAGGGTAGAAATGGGGGTCAAAGTATAGAAGTGGGACTTGTTTGCAACTTAATCCAACAAAGTCAAAGAAGACTTCTGTGGTAAAGGGACCAATGGAAAGTGGGGGAAATGGCCACTCGGAGAACCTGGGGACAAACTTTCCATAAATGAAGACAATAAGTGCAAAGGGCCTCAGGTCACTGTGCATTAAGTGTTTACACAGCACAGAAAGAAGCCAGTGTGGATGGGAACAACGGGCAGAGATAGGAACTCAAGTTCTGATCATTAATGTCTTACAGAAAGTTTTGAAAGGACTTTGTTCTGCTTCATCCTGAGAGAGATGGTAAGCCATGGAAAGATTTAGGTCATCCAAAGGATGTTTTTATAACATAATACAAAAATGTAAACACTCATAACAAAGAAGAATAACGTTTGAGCCAGAGGAGTGCCATTTTTTGGCATGCAAAGTTACATTTTAATCACCTTGACAAAGGGGCCATTGAGTGGCCTGAGCTCAGCACAGAGGGCCACAGTGGACTATGGAAACACAGATTAGTTTAACAAATGACTATGGTAACCCTTTCACTGTCTCCATAGACAGAGCAAATCTATGATGTGAAAATTCTCCTAAAAAAACCCTAACACACTGATGTTCTCAGGTATATATGACAGATGGAAAAGTTTGATCCCAGCAAAACAAGAAGTTGAATGATGAAAGCTGGAGATCAAGAGGGGATGAGAGGAACAGCAGGAGACTGGGTGATATACCAAAAGCAGTTCCCCTAGAGGAATAAAGTCAATAGTCTACCAGGGAGTAGGATAAAAATGCAACACCTGGTGATTTATTACAAAGATTACAAAGAACCAGAACTAAGAAGTCCTAAGGATACCAGCACTGAGGCAATGATCATTTAAGAGGTGTGAATGCTAGCTTGCTACCAAGACTGATTTTATTATCACATATTATACACAAATACCAAACTATTATAGCATGGCTCATAAATACATGGCTATTATGGATTTTTTTAAAGAAGAAAAGAAGACTAAGGGACTGGGAGATAGCTCAGCAGTTACAAGCTCTTGTTGCTCTTGCAGGGGATTTGAATTTAATTCCCAGAACCCACATGGTGGCTCACAACTATCTGTAACTCTAGTTCCAGGGTATCTGATGCCCTCCTCTGATTGACACAGCCACCAGGCATACCCATGGTACACATATATATGCTCAGGCAAAACACTCATGTGCATAAGTCACGTAAGTTAAAATAAATACATCTTTTTAAAAAAATTTAAAGAAAAGGAAAACTAACAACTTAGTGGCCCTCCCCCAGGGGTGTGTGTCTGTGTCTGTGTCTGTGTCTGTGTCTGTGTCTGTGTCTGTCTGTCTGTCTGTCTGTCTGTCTGCATCTGGGTCTATGTGTGTCACTGTGTTTGTATATGTCCAAGGGTACTTCAGGTGTTGTGTGAACCATTAGTAGTATCACCCTAAGCCCCATAATCAATAGATAGCCACTTTTGATATAAAATTGTCCCTAAACACAAGTCAGTCGTTTAAAGAAATTAAGCAAAACCTGTCTCTTGTTGTGACATTACAGCAGAACGTCTTAATATATGGACCCCTGTCAAGGCCTTCAAGAGCATTCTAGATTCATCAGCAAGGTGTACACAGGGAGGGGCCCAGGCATGTATCGGGCAGAGGGGGATGCTATTCAAAAAGAGTTTATATGCCACAAAAGTTAAAGTGATCCAGTTAAAGTGACTGAGGCTGTGACTCAGGCTTAGAGCACTCATAGGAAGAAAGCCCTGGGCTTGATACCTAGCACCACCAAAAGTAAAATGATAGGTAAAATAAACTAGTTAAGAAAAATAACTCCTACTTATTGAGTTCTTGCCTTGCAGAAGGCACAATATTAAACATTTTCCATGGCTTATCTTATGCCATTCATACAATAATGATATGAGGTAGGTGCTATTATATAATTCATACAAAAAAAAACCCTATAAGGTCTGGTTTGCTTCTTTGGAGGATCCAAGAAACAGCCTGAAAGTAGAGTCAGGCTGTAAATACCAATAGTTGGATCCCAGAAGCTTTGCTCACAACACTTTACTTAAGGGAGGCTCTTTGGTCACACTTCTCAAATGTCTTTCCAACAGTCAACCCACTTCCACAGTGTCTTCACACACAAAAAAAATCCATGGACTGGTTCTATACTTCTCAATGTGTGAGCCCATTCACCTATCCATCCACCCATCCAATCCATCCATCCATCCCTGACCTTTTCACACTTACACATTCCTAGTAGTTTCTCAAAAGCTATTGTAGGATAAGAAGTGGGATTAAATAAAAGAGAAACTCCTCATTGTGAGTAAGAATTTCTCTCCTGCATTGATGCCAGCAGGGCCTGGCTTTATGTGGCTTTCTCTGAAATCCAAAAGGACCAATACACAGAACTGGAAAGGACACTTCTCTTGACCACCTGCAGTTCACAGGCCAAGATTGCAACACCCCACCAGGACGTGATGACATTGAGACAGGTTTGGCACCCACCCCGGTTTCCCAATGATGCATCACCCTGACTGGGCCACGTTGTTCTGCAGACAAAGAATAGCTTTTACCCAACAGGCCACAAGCAAAGCTCATTTTTCAGTGAGATCCAGGAGGGAACAGGGCCATGATTTCAGAGCCAGGGATGGCTTCGGGAAAAACACAAGAGTGTCTTAGCACACTGGTCTTACTCAGTGCATGGGGGCACCATCCTGACACAGAATCCATCCACTTTGGGGTTATGGTATCTTTTAAAATTAGATAGGCACCTAAATTTTCTCCTCCAGAAAATGCAAGTGTGTTACACTAGTGATATTTGGTCAGCAATTTTGGGGATCCCTGGCCCACTTAGGGGGTTCGTGGACCCTAGATTAAAAACTGGGTTAATTCTCTTTGAGATGTCAGCCTTTTCCTCAAGATAGACCATATACATATGCATGCATGAGCGTGTGCATGTGCACACACACACACACACACACACACACAAAGTCTAGATGTTCCCGTCCCCAAATGGGAGAATAAGTAATCCAGGACATAAGATGAATGTTTTTTCCAGACATTCTTCTCCTGCCAACATGTAGAGGAAGCCACAAAATCCTACCAACCTTAGCCCTCAGACCTTTTGATCTATGAACTCATTTAATACATGAACTACTACTGCCTCGCTCCCGCCAGCTTGTGCTCCCCACTGCCACAAAACAAAAGCCAGACCTGAAGTGAGCCATGTGGTCAAGTGGTTCATTTTTATAAAACAATGGCTAGCAATGCAGAGGTTGTCCAGCCTGGCTTTCTCTTCTCTCTCTCTCAGACACTTGGGGTCAAGGTGCCCTGTGGAGTCCAGGCAGAAGCAGTAACAAGTCCTGAACTTACAGCATAAGTGGGAGCCTATGCTTTTAGCCTAGCTGCTTCGCAAGAAAGCAGAGATTAGATGAATTTGCATATGAGTCAGCTGTGAGACATTTCTTTACGGGATATACAAATTTTAGTGTCCTAATAGACCGTGCCACCCTAGCTCGAGGCTTAACAAGTCAGTAGATAAACACATCAAGTCTGAGTTGGCATGACTGGCTTTGGGACTATCGAGCAGATCAGAACACTGGTGGCAGCCATTTTATGGAACGGGCAGATGAAGAAAAAAAATCAAAACAAAGCCGGCTTCCCCACCTGCACTATCAAGGAGACCATCAGTTGACACAGAGCCTCACCTTAGCTCAGCTTGAACTTGCATGAAAACATAGAAAGATGTTTAACTGTACCCTATTTTATAGGAACTTGAAGTAGCAAGACTAGGACAGATGGCAAAGGTCTTTGGGGACATTCTGGCCCCATCCAGTAGACACTAAACTATTCTGGAAGGAACTGACTCATATATGGTTGCAATTAATATCCTACCAGACCGAAAAGCCAAAGATTCCATCAACTACGGACACCAAGTTGATTTAAAAATAAAAATAAAAAAAGATAGAAGACTTGGATTATTCATCTCATTTTCAAGCCTGTTACAACAGGCAGGATGGTAATGGAACCTGGGGATTGGGGTGGAGGTGAGGGGAACAGGTTCATAAAGCTCATCTTAAAGGCCATCTAACACCACAGTAGGTGGATACAGGAGACAGAAATTCCCTGCTTTTGCAGCCTGCAGGTATAAGCTGCTGCCTTGAGCCCCTGCTTTTCTGAGATTCTAGAAGATGCAAAGCACAGGAAGGGGAGGAGGGCAGACCTGGATGTGAGGTAATAGGGCTGTGACTTCCTGGGAGTTTTCGGGGGAGCAGTTAGTTTGACTTTATCTTCAGTTGAAATCTTTTGCCACATTAAAGACCTAACAGGAAAGACACGGAAGGTGACACTGCCGGAAGCTGGAGTGGAAATTAGTGGGTGACTTGGGTGCTTTCTTCAGCCCTGAAGCTGATAGTCTTTTCCAGGTGGCAACAACTGCCATTGGAAATTACCCAGATGCACTGCTCCTCCAAAGTGGCACATATACCACTACTTTTCTGACATTGGTCTAGCTTCCAGATTTTAAAAAATCACTTCAAGGGTACACACCAAAGGCTTGGGTATTGGGGGTTATCTTCAGATCTCAACCACAATTCCAAGAGTGCTTAACCTAGCTCCCAGCCCTCTCATTCAAGAGACTTGACTCAAACAAAACTTCAAACTAAAAGCTCTCATTAGCTCAGTTCATACAACCACACCATCCAACCAAAGCAAAAGAAGAGGGAGCATTATTGTTTAAGCCCATGCTTTCTTTCACACATACCCTGTTAATTTCCAGTTCAGTCACTAGCCCAAGGTCAATTTAAGGGGAAGAACACTTCTCTTACAAATGATGTCTCAGCTCCACAGACCCAAAGAGGTCCAGAAAGAACCAGGTCAGGGAATCACACAAGATCTTTTTTTTTAAAGCTAATTCTTATAGTACACATATAAACGAGTACCTGTTGTCTGAAAGCCCCTTCCCAAACCTAACCCCCAATGTGCCAACATTGCTATAACCTTTGAAAAACATTGTGGATGGCCCCTAGCTGTATCCAATCGTGACCAATGTAACTGATGAGAACGTAACTGACACAGGGCAGATGCACTGATTGCAAAGTGCTGGTGAGCCATCAAGCTTAGGCTTCAAAGCCGGGGGTGGAGGAGGGTGGAGGGGGGTGAATGCAGGGCTGCTGTCCAGACTTCCAAATCACTATATCTGCAGACTGTGCCCACTGGTCCACAGGTGTTTTGTATGTTTGGGGTGCAACTGAAAATTAAATTGAGCCTTCTCTTCAATAAATACAAATAATTTTACCAAGTTTATCTCCAAAGCAAATTTGTGTAAAAATAGAGTTAAACACAAGGAATTTTTGTTGTCTCAGGAGAGTGACTAGCCACACAGAGTGACATAGGAGAATTCTTCTGGCAGGATGTGAGCTGGTAATCTTTGGTGTATACATACTGGCTGGAAAACACAACTACTCATTCAGATGACAACTCAGTTCATTCTCTAGCTTTGTAACGAGAAAGACTCCAGCAAAGTAGAAATGTAGGGTGGTGGTAAGTTTTATTGATAATTAGTAAGCACAGGCAGGAGGCAAACCCAGTCCATGTCTTGACAACTTACCAACTGGAAGGTGACTGGAGGTTGTCATGGAGATTTGGGCCCGGCAGAAAGTTTTACTGTCCATTAGATCTGCAGGAAACAAACAAACAAAAACAAGTAGGCGGGGACATTGGGAGACCCTGCTGATGATACAACGTTGTAGCAGAGCAAGCATGCAAAAGGGCCTTCAGAGTTCGGGAGTTAGTTACCTACTGTGCTACCATAGCTGGGGTCATAGAGATAGTTTTCTTCTTTCCACGTGTTCATAATGCAAGGATCTGCAAGGAATGCAAAATGGGGAAAGTCAACAATTATTATCTCTGGGTTGAAGAATTCCCATTCAAGTGTCTGCTCATTCAAGAAGCTCCTGGGCTTGGAGGTGGGGGGAGCACAGCCAAGAAGATGCTACTTCAGCTATGCGCTGCCTTATGACAAGGTCAGCCCATTTTTCTCCCAGCACTGTGAGAATAGCTTTGTTTCGGTTCTAACCTTGTGATGCATACTCATTACATTTTCAGGCTATAGAATCCTATCCTAGACCAGTACCCTATTCTTCTAGAAATTGTTCCAGCCTAGCTTGACCTCACTCCTACCACACAATCATCAGAATAAATATACTCTGGAGTGGAGGGAAAGCTTTGTTGGGGATGAATAAATGCATAATAAGGGATTTATAAGCATTCTTCTTTCTGGTGGTGGTAAGGAACTCATGATGTTTCTTTTAGAAAAAAAACTGGCCAGTTTTCTCACAATTCAGTCACTACTGAAATTCAGAGAGTGGCTACCATTAAGAGGAGTGGTAGCCACTGCTGTCTAGGTTTTCTCCAAGCAACTTAAAGGAGATATAAAAGTCTCAAAACTTTTTTTGAGAAGGGGAAAAAATCACACAGAAGCTTTTTAGGGGTGGGCATTTGCATCTCTGGGAGAAACAGACATGAGTTCCTTACTCCATCTTCTTCTCCTGAATGCCATGTCTCAGGAGTTAGCTGGAGTGAGACATACTCTTCAGATTGCAGATTAGAAGGAAACTCCCTCCACCTGCCCCAAGTGAGCCCAACTCCCACATAATCGCCAGATCCAGGCCAGCTTCCAACACAAGCATTCTCTTTGCAGGCTGGCCAAGAGCTTGATGCTCTCACCTTGTCCCTGGCATCAAGCTCTTGGCCCCCAATCTGGGCTGCTTTGGCTTCCCCAGTACCCAGGTTTTACATGTGAGGGCCAGGATGACAAGTCACCGGCTGAGTTCTGTTTTGTTTTTATAGCATAAATGGTATAAAGCCTGACTCACTGGCTAAGTCCTTCTGTTTACAACATGGGGATTTAGCTGGTATTTGAACTCACAGCTACATGTTTGGACACCCTAAGCCCAGACTCTTGGGGTTACACCTTCTGTCCTTGTTGGGTCACCTTGTACATCTATTGTTGTCTCTAAAAACAATCTCCAAAGAGGTTTGGGGAGGTGTTGGCCCCTCTGTGAGCCTCCTCTCCCCTCTTCTCAGGGTGGACCTTTTCTGAACCGGCAACACAGGAATGTCCGGATGGTCAAGGAGGATTATCATCTTCCTTGGGGCCTCTCCAATATCACCCTGACCCCTGCAGTAGGGCTATATGTAATGCCAAGGCCATCCTCTAAACCAGATCCTCATCTGCCTGCAGAGCTTGGGCAGGCCTACAAAACACAGACCATGCAAGTTAAAGGACAGGCCTGGGAAGACCTAACTGACATGTTTGGCAGCTGTTTCTTTTTCTCTTTAATAATGGCAGACCAGGGCCCTTATAAAAGATTAAATAACCGCATGGGCTAATTTTGGTGCCAAGTGACTCAAAAACCACCCCCAGGTCAAATTCTGTCCTTGGTGACTAGCACGCAAGCCTCAGGGAGACCTGAAGCAAACTTTTTCAACCCACGTGGCCTATAATCTCCCTGATGTGGACACAGGGAGTGACTCAGGAGCAGTGGCACCTGCATAGTTTTTTGTTTTGTTTTGTTTTGTTTGTGCCCATGACGTTTGGGGGAGAGAGGAAAAAGGACAAAAATGAGTGTAGACATTCTGAAACTACAGACTTTGCTCAGAGCCCAGGATAGGATCTTTCAAGCAGAAATATGCTCATGAGGCTTGGGCTCTACAGTCACGTATAAATCTCTATGGAAGCTCACTAGGGCCCAGAGACTATGCTGCCTGCAACATCAAGACAGCAGCTCCCTCCTTGTGGAGCTCACTCCCGTGGAGGGGGGAATAAAGACTTCCTTCCCCTTGCTTTTCTGAACGCAAGTTCACTCTTTCTGAGGAGAAAACCCACCTCAGAGTCTGTTTTAACCCAGCTACTGGCCTTGGATCTGGATGGTGCCGTGACTGGCAGAAGGAGGGCTCACCACCCATGTACACGTTAGACAAAACTGGTGGTCATGCATCCCGTGGCAAGGAAGCAGCTTACGGCAGGGTGGGGCCTGGAGGCAAGGAAGCGACCTCCATGGCTTCCAGGCTAACTCTTCTCCCATGGCCTCATTTTCCCTCCTCTTTTGCTCCCCGGGGCTTTGCCTGGCCAAGTCGGCTGCCTCTGCCTCTCCCCACTCACCCGTTTGTTCCGTCTTGACAATGACATTGTGTGTGGACTGCAAAAGGTCACTGCTGCACTGGCCTGTGAAGCACAGATGGAAAAGTCAGAGCCCAGGCAGAGCCACAACTTGACACTTCGCTAAGAACATGAGACTCTCTGAAGAATGTCTGCCATCTTGCTGTCTTCCCTGGTCTGCCGGTGGGAGTCACCCAGCCAGCCTTGGCACCACCGAGAGAGCTGGCAGTCCAAGACACCTGCCCGAGTGGGAGTAGTTGGTGTTAGAGGTGAAGGATGTCACACACCAGAGGACCACCTTCTCCACACTCAGGCGCTGCAAAACACTGGCTGTTCTAGTCTCAGCCTCCTCCTCTGTAAATTCAGGGGGTTAACCTGGATAGAGTTACTTACATGACCTCCATGGTGCTCTCTCACTCTAAGATAGCATATGAAATGAAAGTGAAAATGCACGGGACACTTTAACTCTACGAGCCCTTAAGACTTTGATCTTAAACTCAATCAACTCCACCTTTACTAGATTCATCTGTGAGTCACATATATGGATAAAACACCATGGGCTTTCTTTCCTTTCCCTATGCCTTCAGCACTCACACATGTAGTGCATGACATACACCCTCCTCTTGACTATGATGTATAAAACTATACAATGATTTTCTTCCCTGCAGAGATTGCCAATGGTTCATATTTCTGACCTTCAGTTTTCCCATCTGTAAAATGGGTACAGTACTCACCATAAGTTCATTTGATGAATCAATTCACATTATAAATATATTCACAACAAATGTAAACTAATAGAATATGCATAGAAATTGAAACAACAGCCCCACGGTGGAAACTCCTGCCATTTGGCACTTAAAGGCAAGAACAGTAAGACCAAACAATTCATGGAAGGTCAAAAATGACCTCCACACCTCCCAAGCCTCCCTGCCTCAGGCTTCAGTCAGAGCAAAGCTTTACAGGAGTGGACATAATTGAGGTGGTATTTTTAATTCTTCAACTATAAGTCTGCTCTTTGCAAAGATTCCTGAGTGTTATTTAAATAATAGAGCCCATTTTTTGTTTGATTCTAGTAAGAAACTAAACGAGTAACCACCATTACCAGATAAGTGAAAAGATGGGATGCCAGGGTGCCAGATGAGAACATCCAAAATGACACCATGGCTGCTGCCATCACTGCCACACTCCTGCTGATGGCAGCTGTCTACAGGGTTCTAGAGCTCACCTTCACTGTGAGCTAGTTACTTGTCAAACACAGGTTCTACTAAGACATAAATGCACTTCTCTCCCTCCCTCTCTCTTCCTCTCTCTCTCCTTCCCTCCCCCCCCGTGTGTGTGTGAACTGTCACCATGAACAGTTTGCAAGGTGCCCTCCTGTGTGTGAGATGAGAGACCGGAGGAGACAAACTTGAGGTTTTAGGAACTATTGCAGAAATGGCCCATATGTTTTCAGGCCAATCATTCTGTTCAGAAGTATTTTAATTATAGGTGTATTTTTAGTTTTATTTTTAGTTGTGAGTGTCCTTGTGTGTGCCTCTGTGTGTAGGTATGTGCACATGAGCACAGATGCAACGTGGATCGTCATAGGCGTTGGATCCCATGAAACAAGGCTCACAGGAGGTCGTAAACCCCTGATGTGGGTGCTGGGAACCAGCACAGGCCTTCTGCAAGAGCTGTGCGTGCTCTTTATTGATGACCACCTCTCCGTGCCTGGTTCTGTACGTTTAAGAAAAACAAGAGAGGTGGGGTTAGCCTTCTCCCCTCCAGATACAGGGAGCTAGTTCCTCTTGCCTTCTTAAATACACTGGACTCCCACTTTGAGAACTTGGATCTGGGTTGGGTGTACTGGTACATTCCTGTAATCCTAGAACATGGATGGCTAAGTAAAGAGGATTTTGAGTTCAGGGTCAACCTGAGTGACATAGAGAATTCTGGGCCAGCTATATAACCACATAGTGCAACTCAGTCTCAAGACAACCAGACCAAAATTTTAAAAACTAAAAATAAAAGTATCTTAGGTCAATAAGAGTTTTTTTTCTTTTTTAAAATTATTAATGACCTTTAACAAGCAAGTGAATGCCCAAGAAATAAGTTATTAGACACTGTTAGAAAAGGAGGGCTGGAGAGAGGGCTCAGAAGCTAATGGCACTTATTGCTATTGCAGAGGACCCAGGTTCAGTTCCCAGTATCCTTATGGGAACTCCAGCTCCAGAGGATTGGCACCCTCTTCTGACCTCTCCATTGACACCAGGCACACACGTCATACAAATACATACACACACAGGCAAAACACTCAAATAAATAATCAAATAAAATGCATATGATTTTTTTAATGTAAAGGCAAAGCTTGTCTTACTAAGACAAGTATTCTGTGTCTTTCTGGAAATGAAGGCAGCCACAGGGAGAGTTTTATCAGTCCTCTCCCTTCTCCGCTGCTCCCTGTCCGGGGAAATGGTAAGCTGGAGCGTCACTTCTGACAGGGAGCCCAGCCAGCTGTGGAGCCCTTCCACTTCCCAGCACCACTCACCATTCCACTTGAGATGCTGCAAGTTGCCATAGAGCAGCTGCCCCGCAGAGCCTGCCGCCCTCGTGAACTCCTGCAGACTCATGCTGCACAGGTGCTCTCCGCTGATGTCAAACTCCTGAAAAGGGATGCAGTTGGCATCCAGCTGGTTGGTGTCCAGGAGATGCTGCAGCCATTCCCACACCTGGTATTTGGTCCAGTACTGAGGGTGGATTTCATGCCACTGGCCTCCGAAAAAACCACTGGAAACTGCAAAAATAGCATATGGCCCTGTGAGTGACCCCTGCTTGTTCCTGGGTAGTCTCAGACACAAAAGGTTTGGCTGTGGATAATATAATGGGGACCGTAACCACAGCCCCCATCATCATGGGGGCTAACTGCTGAATGTGCTCTGGATAGCAGGCTCCTAGCATGTGGAGGGGGGGATTACCCAATAGTGGCAGGGCATCTTCTTATTTTTCCTAATGTCACACCCATCTCTGAATATTAGATAATACATGATACCTGAAGTACTCTGAGCTCATTCCCCACCCCCAACAAAGAAGTACCAAAATGAAAGAGTTGGCTATAGTTTCATCTACTATCTAGCTGATTACGCACATGCAAATACATTCACCTTGCCAGAACACCTCATGAACACCAAAATCTTACCATCCCTTATATGGCATGTCATATTTACATATATATCCTGCACATTTTCCCTATATTTTAAATTATCTCTAGATTAGCTGCAATCTCCACAAAAAAGTAAATGCTGTATAAATAGTTAATGCTAGATTGTTTGTAAAATGACAAAAAGAAAAAAATTTGTTTTGCTCAGTGCAGATATATGGTGTGTGTGTGTGTGTGTGTGTGTTCTTATCTATACAAGTGCATGTACATGTGTGTTGAGTGGATGTATGAAGGCCAGAAGTCAATGTCTGGGGTTTAATATTGCTCTCCATCCCATTTTTAAAAGCAAGGTCTCTTCACTGAGCCAGGAGCTCACTAGTTTGGCTAGACTGCCTGGACAGAGAGATCCAGAGGTCCACCTGTCTTTACCTTGCCAGTGCTGGAGTCACAGATGCAATCCATTACACCTTCCTGGCTCTCAAGTAGGTGCTGGGGGTCTGAATTTGGATGCTTATGTTTGCCCAGCAAGGCTTTAGCCATGGGTCCATCTCTCTAGCACCAAGAGGCATTTTTAAAAATTAGGAGTTGGTTGAGTCTTTGGTGTGGAACCCTGGGATGCAGAGGGCTGACCATGGTCCTCTCTCCGACTGTGTTTTTTTCCCTCTCACACACACAGAATGACAGAGACAAAGGTTTCAAAGAAAAAGCTGAGACTCACTAAACACAGGTCATTTTCAACAACAAAATGGGGCCTTAAAATTAAGCTTCCCTTTCTCTGATGGCTTTGCTCTTCCCTGAAATGACATATCCCCTCACTCCAGATTGGTGTTTATAGCTGCTCCAGCACCCCTCTCCACTCAGCTCCTACTATCACTGAAATAAGACAGAAAACGGCCACGCTAGGCATTGAGCCACTTTGCCACGGCTTTTTAAGTGACTAGTGTCCTCTGTGGTTTTTCTGTGTGGTCCCCAGGTTCCTTTCTGTATCACCCTTTGCTGCTGTTGAACCTCTAGCTCTCTTTCTTTAGATTTTAGAGTTGCAGTTTCCCCAACGTGCTTTGGTAACTGAACTTCCAGGAATCATGCTTAGAATTTCTCGTAATGGCACCTGTTAAGTTCTGCTTATCTTTATAGGCTTCTAAGTTCTGGCTCATTGTCCTCTGCAAACTGTATGTTCGAGGTCATGGACTCCAGTCTTACTCATCTTCCTATATCCATAAAAATCCTTTGGAGCCATAGTGAAGTCATTACCAACTCAGTATGGTTCACTTTCAGCTGAAGAACCAATAATGCAGGAATAGAGTTGTACTGTGAGACAATTTGGTTGAAGACCTGAAGTACATTCTAGTGGGTAAGTTACCAAACATTTTACATGTTAACGGTCTATGTACATGGCTGCCTTGTTCTCACATAAGAGAACTTCACAGAATTGGCCCAAAGGCATGGGATCTGGGAGAGAGAGTACTAGCCTCTAGGGCTGTGTTTTAGGGTTGAGGGACCTCAGGGTCTTCTGAAAACAGAGATAAAGGGGAAGAGCCCTTTCCCAAGAAAGGTAAATAGCAAAGCCAAGAGGGAGACACCTTGTACCCAGCAAGCCCAAGCCAGACAAATGTAACTGAACTTGACACAAATGCAAGATCTGGATGATGGGGAGGTGTAAACAAGTGCCTGCTCACCCAAGATAGGCCGCCAACATCAGATCAAAGAATCAATGCCAAAGTATAGCTTGGTGAGCTGTTGAGTTTAATTTAAGGTTACTTATAGGATCATGGACGAGGGGCTCCTTATAGGAGTATAGGTGGAGCTAAACAATGTACCACCAAAGGAGTCTAGTCTTCTCCAGCCTACCCATCAATTGTTAACCACTTCTGTATCTTCTGAGAGGGGTGGAGCCTTACATACTACATTAGTTTTCCCTCCACAAAGTAATATTAATGGGTTCTAACCTATGCAGATCTCCAATGAGTAGTCACAGATACTCCAATTTCCAGAAGTCATATCATGGTCAGGGTACAGCACTCTATGAGGAAAATTTATCACAAGGAAAATACCCCTAACTGTCCCATCATGCTGGAGAAGTACTTAAAACTTAAGTATGACTGCAATCCCCAGGGACTACTGCCCAAATGCAGATCCCAGTCCAGGAGGTGTGGGCTAAGGCCTGAATTTCTGCATCCCTAGCAACTTTGCCATGCTGCTGCTGCTTCTGGACTGTGGAGTGACAGAGATTCGGGACTCCATTCCCATAATGCCTCAGGGCTAACTGGTTTTCTATCCCAGTAGAGGAAAGACAGGAAGGAGTGAGGGTCTTAGGAAATCTCATCTTTCTCTCCCTTCAGAAGCAACAAGAGCAAGAAGGCAAGACCAAATCAGGACATCAAGGTGACTGACATTGATATCTGCTGCCCATAGGATGAGCTTCATTGCCCCCACCTTGCAGCCAAACAAATGCATCTCTTCAGCCTCTCCTATGGAGTAGAGCAACAGGGGAAGCAGATGAAAAACTGGAAAAATGTAGCCCCCAACTTGACATCTATAGAAATTCTCCCGCAACACAAAGCTCTTGATGAACATCTCTGTGTCCTTATTACTATTTTTATTATTTTTATAGCATTGCTTAAGGATGAGAACAAGGTTTTTGTCAGTGGTAATGATGAACTATGTTCCTAAAATAATTTCATTTCCTATAACAAGTAAGCTGTGAGTTTGCCAACAAAAGAACAACTCTCATAAGCTCAGGGGCAGGCCCAGGTTCCTCTCTCCTGTGCACTCAGTGTGAACCTAATTATGGGTAGCTTCTGATACTCTGTTCAGACCTGGGAGGGCAGAGCCAGAAACTTGGCTGAAGTTGGCCAGGAGAAGATGCCTCCCTCTTGAGGCAGGGAATCATCAGAGTCCCTCATGTCAGGGAAACTGAAAAGCCAGTGGGGTCTGTTCTCTGCCATACAGCTGACTCCCCCCCCCCTTCAGTCTTGATAAAGATCAACTCTTCTTGACACCTCCAGAGCTAAGAAATGAAAGTGACATCTCAATTCTGCTCCTGGCTAAGTCCACTGCTCGGTTTCTCCAAAGCAAGCAGAAGAGACAGTGCCTGGGGCATGCTGAGACTTCCTGCTCTCTTTGGAAGATTTTTTTTTCTAGGTCCCCACAGCAAGTTCAAGGTCTGCCACAGAATAAGTAACTAATCAGAAAGGGCAGCAGTTTTAGGAGACAAGTGATCTAAGATAGGAAGGCCACCTGTTCAAGCTTCCTGCCATGCTTGGCTGGGATTCCAAATTAAAAGAGGAGTGCCACGTGGACCTGCCACTCCGCAAAGAATATCGCCCTGCCATCGCCCTCGCTCCTGCTCCTCAAACTCTTCTCCCTGACAGGATACATCTGTGTGTCAAGGTAAACAAGAGCTGCATCGTGGCCGTGGAATGGGGGATAGCAGTAAGTGGGGGTGCGCTGAGTCCTGGAGCTTCTTTAAGCCTGCACTGTTGGACCGACACCCAGCAGCCTGGCTGTGCTGAATGCCTTCAGTGAGGCATAGAATCACGGATTCACCTTTCACTGGCAGCCGCAGGCTAGATCACCAAACATTAGATACAAGTGTTGTCACGAGATCCACCCACTCAGAGTCCATATATTCTGGGGTAAAGAACCAAAAGACAGCACCTGGTTCCCTGACAAATCTCTTCCTTCAACTGGGAAGTGACAGCAAAGAAGCTAGAAGGTTTAAACTACTGTAATATTTTCTTCTCTAACCTGTGTGGGGGGGTGGTTAAATACATGTGCGTACTAGTGTACACATTCACCTCCATGACCCTATCTTGATATCCCCAATAAAACACTACTGAAAACTTCACTGACATGTCTCCATTCCCTTGGGATAACTCATCTACCATCTTTATTGCCAACCCAAATCTTTGCATTTGGGAAGGAGGTGGTGGTCTATCTCAGAGGGTTTTGGCACAGAGCCCTGGGGGCCTGCAGAGCAAACAGCGTTAAAAGTTTCCTCATATAAGAAAGTAAGGATCAGTGGTAGAGTCTGTGATTAGCAAAGCCTAGAGTTCAATTACCAGGAGGGAGGGAAGGAAGGAGGGAGGGACACAGGGAAGGAGGGGGGAGAGGAAGGGAGGGACGGAGGGAGGGACAAAGGGAGGGAGGGACAGAGGGAGGGAAGAGAGGGGGGAGAGAGATTTGCCCCTAGCCTCCATGTCATCACTGAATCAAGTTGGGAAAGAAGTCAGATCAGGAAAGGTTACAGGCTGTGCCACCACCAATGGCAGGGGCCTTACCATTGCATGTGGGGTAGCTTTCTGTCCAGGCTGGCTGCTGGTGGAGGAGGTTGTTGGCTGGGTTGAGATTCATTACACCACTTCCTTCCAGAATCATGATCTGCAAGGGGTCAAATAGTCATTTAATCAGCACCTCATAGACAAATGTCACTGGAGAGTGCAGATCATAGAGTTCATTTAAGAAAGACAGACAGACAAAAAGAAAGAAAGGGAGGAAGGAAGGAACATGTCCTTCTACCCACTGCCACAGCCCTTTCAGTAAAAGCAAGACTTATGGCAATTAAAACTTTCCAGGTTCAATTTTCATATGCATGAGGCAAGTTTTTATAGCCACCCATTCATAAATGAATAATCTCTGATCAGAAACGAAGCAGGGAAGAAAACACAATACCTGTTCACAGGGCAAGTCTGGCCAGCGTCCAAGTGCTTCACAAAAGTGAAAATACCAGAGAGATTTTATTTGAAGTAGAATTTTGATCAGTGAAATCTCAGACCCAGCCCCTATGTGAGACAACATCTCGAATCCCCACATAAGTGGCCCCCACGCTTGAGGACACAGGAAGGCTTCCTCAGTGCCAAGTCCTCCTGGAAGTGAACTGATCCTCTAAGGACTCCATCATATCTCAGCAGAGCTTTTAAAGCCTTTTGGCTTGGGCTAAGATTCGGAATCCTTTGATTTCTGTGACAGACACTTCATCTTTCTGGTACAGAAAACTAAGATTTTCTGTGCTGCTTAAAAGTTATGGTTAGCTTTTCTTCTGATAGAGACCTGGAAAAAATTCAATAGGCTTTGAAGCTGTTCTCAAGGTGACTTACTCAAATTTTCAATTGTGGCGCCCAGGAGAACAGTTTCTATCCATAGCCCACCAGTAATGTTGGAAAAACGTAAAAATTTTACATCTCAGAAAAATTCCCTAGTATTTATGATATGCCTGCCCCAAACTGGACACCCTCCACACTATAGGTCAGAGCCTAGAAGTGTGTGCAATTATCAAAGCAAGGGCAGGTTTTTTTTTTCTGAACCTGGTGAGGCTGCAAAAGTCTTTCTTTCTTCACACTTGATCTTAGCCAAAAGGCTGAGAAGCAATGTCACTGTTCGTTACAAAATGTTGAGGTATGGATAGCCACACTTGGAGGAAATTTTGCATTCTCAAGTGTCACTCATATCAACAGACCGGAATGGTCCCCTCAGAGTAAACACACACACATACACACACACACACACACACACGCACACGCACACGCACACACGCACGTGCACACACACGCACACACGCACATACCTAACTGAGCTTCAGCTCCTCTATGGTTCTATGTAGAACTTCAGAGAAAAGATACATAACCTTGGGAAAGCATATAATACATTCATATATTCATGTATTCATGTATTCAGCAAACATTTATGACCCTGATGGAGAGCTAGATACTGTATAGGTTATGAGGACAGAGCAGTGCTTAGGGGTTGATCTGGGTTAGATACCACTTATAATTGTTGACCTCATCATCACCGTTGTTGCTTAGTGAACATGTAGGCTTGCCCCCAGCATGAGTGGAAAGTGAAGAAAGAAAGGCAGAGCAGAAATGGCAGACAACTCAGTTAGTGACGCACAGGAGAGCCCCAGCCTCCATCCTAGTACCTGTATGAGAGCTTTGGAGTCAGAAGAGCGGAGATTCCTGCAAGCTTTCCTGCTTGCCAGCTACAGTGAGTGCTAGCTCACACAGGTTACGGACATCTCTTAGCCCTCAGATCCCCCTGTGTGAAAATACAGATGATCACGTCTAGCCCGGACGCTGGTTAGGGATCAAGCACATTTCTATACTTGCAACACTTGGCACAGTGTCTGACAGTTAAGTGAAACCACTGCGGGGACAGTGTGTCTCTGTGGATAAGCTGGGCTCAAAACAACCTGGGGCCTCCATTTTTCAATCTAAATAGCTAAAACTGATTTTTTTTGGTTTTGGTTTTGGTTTTCCAAGACACAGCTTCTCTGTGTAGCTTTGGAGACTGTCCTGGAACTCACTCTGTAGACCAGGCTGGCCTCAAACTCACAGAGACCCACCTGTCTCTGCCTCCCGAGTGCTGGAATTAAAGGCGTGCACCACCAACACCAGAAGACCCCTTCTAGAGAAGTTTTTTGTTCTCATCTTGAGGAAAGGAAAATAAACCAAGTCAAACATTTCTTTCACACAGTAATAGAGGCATTTTCCCATCGGGCTTTTTAGAACAATCCCCCTAAGCTAATTCATCCATGGGGGACTTGGTGACTGGGGAGGAACAGGGCCCAGCCCTGGTTCATGTTTGCTCAAGGCTGGGTTTCTGACTTGGCAGCATTTGCTCACCCACAAGCAGTCGAAAGGTTACTGTTTAACCCCGAGAGGGCTGAGGCTCAGAGCCCAGCCCTGCTGGAGAGAGCAGCCCTGCAGGCTCGGGGGACAGATGAAAATAGACCTCCCACCTCCAGTTCCAAGAACTCTGCCTGCAGGGCAGTTTCAAAGTGTCTATGTTGGCAGAGACGAGACCTACTGGATCCAGTAGGAGCCTCCCTTTGGGCCAGTTCAGGGCTTTGTTCCCCACTTCCTAAGAAAAGGCAGGTGGTATGAGGGCTAGCCCTACTCTTCTGAGTTGAGGCGGGAACTAAAACTCTAGCTCCTCTGCTCGCTGTAGATGATGCTGAATTCTGTATCTGTCTGGTCCAAAACCTCCTGAACCTCACCTTCTCCAACTGCAAAATGGGTATATCATTAAACCCAAAGCCTGAAAAGAATCATCTGATACTATATGTGTCAAGATCTTAGGAGGTCATAATAAAAGCTTGGGCTAAAGAGGTGGACACCGTCAGTGAGAATACTTGCTGCTTTTGCAGAGGACCCTGGGTTCAGATCCCAGCACCCACATGGTAGATCACAACCATCCCTAACTTCAGTTCCAGGGAATCTGATGTCCCCATCTCCTCAAGCACCAGGCACACACAAGGTGCACATGTGGGCAGAATGCTTATACACATAAAGCAAAAAAAATCTAAAAAATAATAATAAGGATAAGAACATTAAAGAAAGAATTTGTTATGTGTCTTAGGCCAGTTTTGGGCTTCTAGTTGGGCTCCTTTCCTTGGGGCACATGTTATTTCTCAACACAATCTCCTGGAAACTTCCATAACTGTTTTCAACTCACAGAGAAGCTTTGGGGACATCAGGGTCTCAGCTGTCCTGACACCCCACTCTGTACCCGCTCCCAAGTCCTCCTCCCTGCCATCACCCCTTTTCCAGGGGAAAGCAAGGAGCATGGTGAGGGGCCCTTTTTACAGGGCCCATTAAATGGTTAACACTCATAAAAGAGTTTATGTGGCTTAACCCTTAGTGAGTCAGAGTTCACGGGAGCTCCCCCAGGCTTGTAAGTAGAGATGTCCTGGACACCGACAGCAGCCACAGGGAGCAGCAGGTGGCACCTTGGGTGAACTAGGCTAGCCAAGGCCTTTGGACAAGCCTACTCCCTTCAAATATAAAATGTAGACATTTGTCCTCCAACAGACTCTCAGGACGGTTGAGGAGATCAAATGAGATAATGGATAATAAATGTGCCTTGAGAACTATAAAAAAGCCCTATTATGACCAACGTACCCACACCCCCGTATACTAATGTAGACTTTCCATGATGTATACTGATTGCTTTATGGGATATAAAGAGCTATCCTTTTAATTAAAAGGAGCAAGGAATATTTAGGACTTGTTTTCAGCCCCCTACTTAGCCTTCAGCACAGCTTTCCTTAAAAAGCAAGTAGTAAGTCGAGTCTAGCTAGAGTCTGCAAGACCCCAGTTAGGTTCGAGGCTCCACTTCCTAGTTCTATGACTTTGGGTCTCCTACTCCTCATTCCCAGCCAGGGATGATGGGGGTGAGAGGCGAGGTGTTCTGATTCACTAGGTGTAAGGAAGAGCTGTTCTAGAAGATAAGACAGTGGTTTTAGAAGTGTGCAGTCCAGTACGTGGCATGCACACACCCCAATTTAAAAGTAACCTTTTCTTTCTTTTCTTTAAACAGCAGATGTCAAGGTGTTGCTTGGGACTGGGTCTACGCATACAAGACTGAGAGAGGGGTTCTATGCTATGTGTATGAAGCAAGCCAGAGAAAGGGCTGGCTTCTCTCCATCCTCAGCTTGAGGGATGCTGATGGCGCTATCAGGGGGTGGGGAGGAGGCACTAAGAACCAGATCCTCAATAGCTAATCCCAGCTTCATGCAACATCTCCACAACTAAAACTGGGGGCTAAATAATTCTTTCTTGAAATTTGTAATTAAGGCCTAGTATTTGTGCATACTTTGGAGGGTGCAGTATGGCAATTCAAATATGTATACAGTATATAACCAGTATTTCTTCTTTTGCTTGTGCTTAGAACAGTCCCAGTTGTTTTGAAATATATATTGAATGATTGTAGACTGTGATTACACTATTGTTCTGGAAAATACTAGAAGTCAGGCTTCCTCTAATTGCATTTTGCTACCTACTAACATTTTTCTTCTCCACCCCCTTTCTCTCCACCTTCCTAGCCTCTAATGTCCACTGCTTTTTCTTCTTCTATTATTTAACCTGCCACCAAGGAGTAGGAGTGAGCCTGCAGTACTCATCTTTTTATGTCTGGCTCATCATTCACCATGATGTCCTCCAATTTCATCCCCATTGCCACAAATAACAAGATTTCATTCATTCAATGGCTGAGTATTAGTCTATTACACGTATGTACTTCATCTTCTTTACCCATTCATCTGTCGATTAACCATACCTTGGCCACTATCAATCCTGCTGGAAGAAGCATGCGAATGCAGTTAGAGCTGGAAAATTCTTTGGTATGGAAGTTGTCACACACAGGTAGGGTATCCAGCAGCACCCACAGCTTCTACCCACTAGATCTCATATGCCAGCAGCTCTATCTTTCTATCTATTATCTGTCTGTCTATCTATCTACCTATCTCTCTCCTTATATATTCCCTAGAGCAAAATCACCCCTGGTTGAAAATTAGGGTTCAAACTAAAGCCTGAGGAGGTGGCAGCTGAGGCTCTGATCCTGCTGGTATGGCAACCTTGGCCTTTCTAAATGTTTTTCTCCTCTCCTGAGAAGCAGGCAGTGTCTGTCCTAGCTACACAGACTCACTGAGGATTAAACACAACAGGGACTGGTGAGTTTACAGAACCTTGCCTGGCACACGAAGCCATTGCTAATCAGTGGTTGAGAAGAAGCACCAGGTACCTAGGCATGTCCTGGTTCTAGATTGCATTTAACTGGAGATAAAATAAATCATGACTTGGCCTATTAAAACTACACTATAACAAAGTAAGTTTTATTTCATACCCAACGAATGAAATAAAGTTATACAGGGATTAAAAAAATGTTCAGTCTCTTATCCCTTCTACATGGGTAGGGATAATCAGAGAGAAGAGTATTTGACTCAGTGATCTTATTGATAATCTAGACTTTTCCATTTTCCAACATGACACCCCTCTGTGCAGAAGTTCATAAGTATGACAGTTTAGGGAACAAACTGTCATCCTTTTTCTAAGGAAAGGGAGTCAGCCATGCTACCCACAGAGCAAAATCCAGACAACTACCTCATATGCTAGGTGACTAGTTGGGACCTGTTGGACAATCAGCAACAAATTCCCTACAAGTAATGAGCTGTCAGCTTCTCTGAGAATCATGTGCCACTAAGGGATTGGCCAACCCAGAACTTAATTCTCCAGAGAGAAAGTGCTATAGTGGATTGGGTGGTCGTTGTCTTATTCTTGCAGGAGAGGCAGAGCCCTGTGTCCATTGCTGTCTTAATGGGTGGTTTAATGTAAACAACACAACACTCTAAAATGTTGATTACAGAGGCTGCCTCCGAGCTTTCCTGATGTCCTGGGACTGCTCTACATCCAGGCCATCATCAAAGCCTCTCTTCTCTTACAGATGAGGGAAAGCCCAGCCACCACACACAGACTGAACCACTTGGGAGAAGCACATAAAGGAGAGAATGGAACACTTGGCCTGACTCTAAAATTTAAGCCTTGGATTTTTGCTACAGTTAGTGGGGGATTTTTCCATGGGAGAAGGTGAGGCCTACCCACAGAAACTGACTCATCCTGGATCTGAGCTTGAAAGATATGTTCAAGAGTATTGGAAAATTCCAACTCAGCTCAATTTGCCTTGGTCTTCAGGATAGTCCTTAAATTCCAAGATCATGACATATATCACAAGGGATGAGATTTTGGTGGTCATGCTGATTATGGGAAAGTACTATCTTATTTACAGCCTCATTGTCCCCATATGACAAAGTAGAGGCTACAAAGGTAAATAAGAATGTTTAGAAAGGATCAAGCATCATGTGTGTGGTCACTGTCCAATCCCCATTAGTTCTTAAGATAGGATTGATGCATAAGATCTCTCTTTAAGCTGGAAATTGGCTAGCTTTGGGAACATTATTAGGGTATGGCTATATCCCTCAGAAGCACAAGAGTGTAAGAGTCTGGGAGCCATTAACTATGGCGTCCTATTCGAAATCCTGGCTTTGCCAGATTATCTACAGGGCAAATTCACACAAGTTATTTAACTTCTCCAGGCCTCAGTTTCCTCATTTATGTTATGAGGATATCCTGAAATGGACTTCTGAGTGAGAAAAAATGAAATGACACCTAATACGTGCTGAGAAAAATCTTGGACACATGATAAAGGCTTCATAAACATCAGGTGACTTTTACAATGATAATATTACTAGCAATCTTGTC